CAGTGCAGGGGGCAGGGATTACAGACTGGCATAATCGGTGTACCGAAGTACGTTATGAAGTTTGATTATTATAAAAGTAGGAAAGCCGCCTGTTACACGTAATGTTGCTTGATATTGTCATAAAAATCAAACTTCTTGCTCTGCGCACTTTATTGCCGAATCTACTTCACGTAACCCTCCTGACATGTGACTTCTAACCTGCCAGTGCAAGCGGAAAACCTCGATTCCCGTTCACAATCTACATACATGCATGTAGATGGCGCTCGGACGGGTCCGTGGCCAGGTGGTAAAATACCGCTGCGATGCGCCGTTCCCACGCAGACGGCGACTTTCCCACGTCTCTGGCGACGGACCGGCGAGCGCCGCCTCCCCGGCACCATATGCCGCCTTTCCTCACAGGCACAGCGGTACGACGAGTTGCTGTAAGGTCGGCGTCCACACGGTACCCGGCGCTCAACATTCTGAGAGGATGTCGCGACTAGGAGCGACGGAGAGATTGGAGATTCTGGACAGGAGTTTAGGGCAGGTCAGGCTGCCATGCAACGGTGATTTGTATGTAGTGCCTCCCGCTGCCTAGCTCCCATCTAGTTATTCGGGGAGGCGAGAGGTTGGTAGAAGAGTAGGTAAAACATAATCTTGGGAAAGTGGTACCGGTCGGCGGCCGCCGGCATTCTTTGCAGCGCTCTGCAGGCCGCAGGGGACTGGCATCCAGGCTAGCTCAGGCATCTGCCCGGAAGGGTCGCCGTGGGCTCTCTCGGGAAATGCGGTGTACCTTCGCATACCTCTCGACTGGCCTTGAGTAGAGTGAAATGAAAATGGCTCAGGCTCTGCGTACAGCACCGCCGTTCTTCAAGTGTTCATTTCCCGCATTATTACGACAACAAGGCATCTTGATGGCCCCGTGAAAGGCACTCACGTGAACAGACATTCTCCCCAGCGCCACAGCCCACAAACAAGCAGCGCTTTGTAACGGCCGTGAAAGGAAGGCTTCTCGTACCAATCCGATAGGGGTTGTCGACGTAACACGCCGTTGAAATTACGAAGAAGCTCCGACTCAAGACCGCAGAGATCGCGACTTCGCCGCCTCTAGCCCTGGCCGGCATCCTCGAGGTCTGTCCGTTACTTCTGCCTATAGAATAATCCAATAGTGGCGGCTCCCATTGTAGCGCCGCTTACGTTGAAGCTTCCAAAAGCTGCTTTAAACGTCCTACAGCGGTACGACGCTTATATTTAGACTTCCCATGGATTCTAAGTAGGTAGTGATTGCCTGTAACGCTCATACCGATATGAGATGGCGCCCAGCAATAAAACACTTTGGCAAGTACTTGGCAGATATAATATTCGGGATGTTAGGGCGTAGGCACTTCCTCCTATGAACACTGTCAACTTTTCGGTGTAAGATCCTCTCAGCCGTTGTAAATGGAGCATTTGGTCTGGTGTATTTCGATGCCGCAGCCAGCAGTCTTTAACCAGTTCCTTCTTAACCCTCGCCCCGTTGGGGGGGGGGACCATTTTGGCCCCCCCTGTGGTTTTTCCTGAATAGCAAGAAAACGGCGGCGCGCAGCGCCGCCAAATTTTCAGTACCTTCCCGGGCGTCAATTTGACACCTTCACACCAAATTTCAAGTCTTAGGTCACCTTAGGTCAGGAGTTATTGAGGTCAAACTGAGGTCATGTTCGAGCAAAAATGAGCAAAAAACATGCAATCTTGAAACGCTCACCAAATCTACAGTTATCAAGCAATTTCAAAGTTCTTTATATGGTCTAGTAGACAAAAAGCGGCGCTACAAAACTGCTATCTCGGATTTTCAAAATTTTTGGTTTTTGACAAAAAAAAAATCAAAAAATTGATTTGTTTAGAAAAACTTTGAAAAAATCCAAAAATTTTCCGAATTTCGAAAAAACCGGAATATATGTGATAGTCCCAGCGCTCTTCTATATACATACCAAATTTCAGATCGATATCTCGTTTTTTGGCCAAGTTATAGCGAAAAAACTGTTCAAAAATGATGACGTCAAATTTTTGAACTCAATTTTTAGCAATTCTAGACCACGTACGGCAAAACAAAGACCACCATTGAACTCCCCGTGACGAGCTACATCGATTCGATACCCATTTTATGCAAAAATATTAAATTTGAAATTTGACCTAATTTGACCTGACCTTGACCTGACCTTGACCTGACCTTGACCTGACCTTGACCTGACCTTAACCTGACCTTGACCTGACCTTGACCAAAACGTGATCTAAGCTGGCCCCAAAGGCTGCCTGACCCATATAATCGCATTTGTCATGTAAAATGGACCATAAAACATGTATCACACGACACTTTCATATTGTGACCCCCCCGTGACCTGACCTCTGTGACCTGACCTGGTATCAGTGACCTCAAATAGCAAAATATGTGTTTGAAGAACATTTCCCCATCGATGATTTTCAATGAAATGCATTTTACTCGATTTTACAACGCATTTCTTGAAGTGCCTGTAAACGGTGAAAATTGAACCTTTGACCTGACCTGTGACGTCATCGGTTTGACCTAGGTCAATAAAATTGGGTCACAAGATAGTTCCCCGTTGGGGCTATCCAACGCCGTTTACCGCTTGTCGCTATGTTGCGTGGTTCTCGAGATCTTAGGGGGGGCCAAAATGGCCCCCCCAACCGGGCGCGGTGCTCGGCAGAGCCCAACGGGGCGCGGGTTTTAACCCTCGCATGTGGGGGGGGGGGTCGGATGGACCCCCCATGGTTTTTCGCGAATAACTCGCGTAAAAAGCGGCCGATCGCGACGAAACTTTCAGTACCCACACATTGATCAATTTTACACCTACCCTGAAAATTTCATGACCCTGACCCAAATGACCTTTGACCTGTGACCTCTTTTCCGAGACCATGTTTGGCCGGAATCGCGATTCTGCGTATGTCGGCTCGCATTAGCCGCGCGTTTGCAAGCTTTTCGTGGTTTCAAACGTTCAAACATGTGATTTGATGTTGCTTCCATGCATTAGGGTGGGTGTCAAGGTCACCTGAAGGTCAGGTCAGGTCATTGACCTTTGGTGACCTCGGGTGACCTCGGTTCACTTTTTCGAGCTGTACATGTTTCTAGGCTAGTTTTTGGAGCTGAATTCGAATTTAGCAACCATTTGAACATTTACGAAGTAGTTTTGGTGCCTTCGTAACATGTTACGAAGCTGTCAGAGGCGGTTGACACGTACTACGAATACCCGCCACGATGCCTACTGGTTGACCTGACCTGACCTGACCCGACCTGGTCTAAATGCTTAAAGACATCATCTGTGATCAAAACCAACACGATATTCGTGATCAGCACCCCGAAAAACTTCTTAGCAGCCACACTACGACTTTCTAACAGGTCCCGATTTTCCCGACTTTTGGTCATTGAAGGTCACCCAATGACCTAGGACCTTAAAATTGGGTATCATCGGCTTCCTCTCGTCACGGGCAACACGCTCGTTTTTTCCGCGAAGCTCTAGCTCGATCACGGGCCAAACGGCAAGGGGGGGGGGGTCCAACCGACCCACCCCCCATACACATTAGAAGCTGGCAAACGCCACACATATGCGAGGGTCATAACCACCAGTATCATATTCTGCCGACGATTCCTGAATACCTAAAGAGTTTGATGCAGCGAAAAACGAGGATGGCTGTTCTGCTTCTTGGCAGCTCGAGCCGTGCGCTTGTTTCATTCCATACCTGACCGAATCGCCGGCGCGCGTCGACTGGCCTCGACGAGGCGGCGCCGCAGACTTCCGGTTTGGATCGCGCCACTTCCGGCGTGTCGGCGCCGTGCCGTGACGGCGGCCGCGACCACCAAAAACACCTCCGTGCTGCCGGCGCTGTACGGACAGACACGTCCAGGTCTCGGTCCAGGTGGAGCGACAGGTCTCAATAGCCTCTCGAGCGGCGTGTCTCGGCTGTACGCCCCAGTCCCTCACCCTAGTCCGGCCCGTCCGCCGACCATTACTCCAGGTGACAGGCCCACCTCCTGCCGCCAGACGCCGCTTTTGATTGCGCCCGGCCGACCGGAACAGGGTCGAGGCTCACGTACTGGGAATGTGGCCGCGCAACGGTGCGCCAGGGCCAGATTGGCTGGCCCGTGTAAGGAGCATGACACCGCAAATCAGGCATCAGAATCCAGGGTATTGTGCGTTTTGACTTGTTTGATGTCTGGCAGCCTGTGCAGCGGAGGCATATCAGCCACCATCCGGGAACTCACATCACCTGTGAAAATAGCCGCGTCAAACGCGCGGAAATTCCTAAATTTCACGGACCCTGCTATACGGTTTCTTTGTGTCGCCTCTTCGCCGTCGCCTTCAAAAGCAAATGTTAGCCGTCACGCTTTCGGGGCGGCATATCTCGGCCGACGTCCATGTCACAGCCGAAGACAGGCGTCCTTTGATCAGCGACGGCTCCGTTTCCGCGTCGGCCGACCGACGCTGGGTTTTTGTGTGGCGTCTCGCCTTGTGTCCCGTGACGACGAAAGCCCGGCTCTCACGGCTGCGCGCTGAGGCGGCTCGGTCCAGCCGCGGGTCTCGCCGGCACACAGCGCTCCGTACCGCGGCTCGTGACTCAGCCCAGGGCAGGGAAGAGCCGTGCCGCTTGGCCGGCGGCCTCCCGGGCCCCGGAGAGTGGCTCAAGGCTCGTGGGTAGCCAGTCGGACCCCGCTATCACCTCCCAACCACCGCACAAAATGGGAAGTAAGGGAACGATGGTCCAGACACCCGGCTGAATGAATGGCTCGATTGAGCCACCTGCACCCTCAGTGTGGTCTGCCCGAGCCGACATCTGGCGGCAGCGGTCCGTGCGTTCGGTTCTGACGCAGTGTTTCACGTTACGCTCCGGTGCACCAGCAGTCGCCGCATTCCGTTATACCACGACGTCCATATGTAAATCGGTATGTGAGTGTCATCGAGTGCCTGTTGGTACATTTTGTGTGTGTCTGTGCGTGCGCCTTTTCCTGATCGGTGTTCTTCTTGTTACAGGTACCGGAAGCTTCATGAGGGAGAAACAAATGAAGAGAACCGAGACGAACACAAAAAGTATGTGATTTACGTCTTTTTCTGTTCAAGGCCTTTCACCTATTGAGCTAGTTTGTTAACGAAGTGGCAGGAAGGCTTCTTCATAAAATTGGTACCTGGGCTGTATAAAAACAGCTGTTTTTATTTCAATGCCCATTTCACCCTGAACGCAGGGATTCGTTCATCTCCCTCAACAAGGACATGTCCGATGACTAATGCCCACACTCGACAGTATATGTGGCTTCTGCCCTAACGCTATGCCGCTGTGCCCCGGCAGGTCGCTGCGTCTGGCCATTATGGTGTGGCTGGACTCGTACCCGGCCGACTTCCAGGACCACCCCGAGTACCCGCTGATGCAGCGCATCCTCGAGTTCTGCCGCACCTACCGGCCGGAGACCTCTGAGCTCGAGAACAAGGTCACACACAAGCTGGAAAAGTTTGAGAAGGAGGAGGAGATCAAAGGTAAGGTAGTTATCAATGGTGATCAGAAGAGTATCAGGCTGACAGAGAGTAGCCGAGAGGGGGTATTGCAAGGCAGTTTTGATGTTGAGCTAGCAATAAAAATGATACACGTGTTTCCGCAGGACGCTGGATCCTTCATAAAGCTGCTTTAGGTTGTTAGCAATCAATGCGGACAATCATTTGTGACTGTTTCAGGGGTCCTTGCACTGAACATCTGACCTCGCCATGATCAACCGTCGCCCATGTCAAAACCGACGTTCTTGTGCCGGCAGCCTCGCCGATGCTGCAGCGGATCCTCTCGACGGAGGAGGTGCGGTGTCTGAGCCCGGTGCAGTCGGACGTCCCACCTCTCACCTTCCACGAGATCTCAGAGCGCCGGTTCGCCGAGCAGCTCACCCGAATGGACGCGGTACGTCACGTGGAGGGTGTGGCGGGGAGGACTAGGTGCTGGTGTTTGTATTTCATCGGTGAATCAGATCGGACACAAGGGATTGACGATGCTGCAAAAATGCGGAGGAGTAGGCAAACGAGAGTTGAAGAGGCTTGACACTAGACAGAATAACTGTGAACTAGAAATTGAACTGGTATTATTGCGTGCATTCACTGGCGGATCCAGACTTGCGTTTTGGGGGGGGCCAACTCCTGCAAGTAACCAAACCTAGGGTACCCCCAAATCCTGTTTTCTCATCGGATTTAGGCCACTTATTTTTTCGTCACAGCCCTGAAACGATATTTTTTTAAACTAAAAAAAAAAATAGAAATGGTAGCCCACCCAACCCGAGCCTAAATATTACTTTGAAAACACTTCAAATTGCTTTTGTCGACCAATTAGCCCGCTCCGGGTCGGTGCGTGGCGCAGCCTTCGCGGGCTGGGAGGTGTCGGTTGGACCCCCTGCCGTTCGGCCCCTGATTAAGCTAGAGCTCGCGAAAAAAAAAACAGGCGTGTTGCCCGTGAGTGACGAGACGAAGCCGATGATACCCGATTTTAAGGTCCTTGGTCATTGGTTGACCTTCCAGGGCGGTGTTTCACGGTCGTGCTGACAGCCGCTGACAGCGCATTCCGCGAGCTAAGGTCAGCCTTCGGTAGTGTTGTGGGTATAGGCTTGTTGATGTCTCCATTGAAACCAAAAGTGCCATCAGCGCTGGCAGCGGCTGGCAGCGTGCCGTGAAACACCGCCCAGGTCAGGTCACAGACCCAAAAGACGGGAAAATCAGGACCTGTCAGAACCTCCTAAAGTAAGGCTGTAATACGTTTTTTTTTTGTGCTGATCACAAATTTCATGTTAGTTTGGATCATAGATAATGTCTTCATGCGTTTAGACCATGTCGGGGCAGGTCAGGTCAGATCAACCAGTAGGAGTACTTATGGGCGTCCGTATAGCAGGTGTCCACTACCACTGGCAGCTACGTAACATGATACGAAGGCATCAAAACTACTTCGTAAATGTTCAAATGGCTGCAAAATGCTAAATTCAAAATCAGCTAAACGAAACTATCCTAGAAACATGTTAAACTCGGAAAAGTGCACCGAGGTCATCAAAGGTCAATGACCTGACTTGACCGTAAGGTGACATTGGCATCCGCCCTAATGCGTGGGAGCAACATCATATCACATGTTTGAGCGTTTTAAACCACGAAAAGACTATAAAAGCGCGGATAATGTGAGCCGACATACGCCGAATCGCTATTCCGGCCAAACATGGCCTCCAACATGGCCAAACAGTCTCGAGAAATAGGCCACAAGTCAAAGTTCACTTGGGTCAGGGTCATGAAATTTTCAGACTTTGTCACCATGAGGGTACTAAAGTTTCGTCGCGATCGGCTTCATGATACCTTACACGATAACTTCACACGTCGATCGAGAGTTAAAGCATGGATGAAGGAGAACCACGGGATGAAGGTTCTTTCATCCATGGTTAAAGTGTGCAATAAGAACTTCTTGGGTGAAGACAAGACCAACACTTTTATCAAGCTCACAGATTTTTAATGATACGGTATTTTCTCTCTACCTACTACGCCCTTCTCACATTCATTTTTCTTAAGTGTTTTTGGGGACAAAAAATATATGTTGTTCCCCTTTCAGGCTTGGGGGCATGACCCCGTGGCCCCCCTGGATCCGCTAGGCCGAAACTAACTAGGTCGTTTTCAAACGGTCTGATATTTCAGGTCATAGTTTGCAAACGGCCGGTGTTTTCAGGTAGTTTCATATGGCCTGACTGGGCCAGGCCGTTTGCAAACGGACCGAATTTTCATACGGCCTCTAACATATATTCAGATTTCAACATCTGTCGTAGCATCAAATGCTGATGTGGCGCACTCAAAAGCCGGAATTGGTCCTTGGATGCCGTAAGGACCCTTTTAAGAAATAAGTGACCCGACTGACCCTTAGAGATTGGCCTGAGCTGTGACCTTACCGTTTCGCAGGAAGGGACAAAAAGGTCCCTCATATGCTTCTTGTACAATTACGAAACAAAACAAGTTTTTTTTTCAACGAAAACTCAGTGAGTTTTCCTAAAAAAATTATTGCGCATGTTCCGTGAATGAAAAGTTGCCGGGTCATGTCAGGTCAGGCTGCCACAGCAAGTTTGTTAACTTGACAGCTCAATCGATATTTATGCAATAAGACCTTCTCGGGTGACGATAAGACATAACGACACTTTATGAAGGAAGCTAGTAAACCCGGTAGTTTCTCCATAGGCGCGGGAACCGGGGGGAGGGGGCAGTGGTGGCAGCTTGCCCCCCCCCCCAACTCTGGGGCCGTGCGGGCGGTGCCCCCACAACTTTCAGACAGAATACCGCTCCTTTTTGCAAATGTTTTCTTTTTTTTGTTGAAAAAGCCAAGGGATGAAAAATAAGTGGCCTAAAACCGGCGAGAAAACTATATTTGGGGGATCCTAGGTTGATCTCTATCATGGTGTGACCTCCCCCCCCCCCCCCCGTCTAAAAGTAGTTCCCGCGCCCCTGGGTTTCTCTACGCTATTGAATCACGCTGCTGATTCTAGTAAGTATCTACTACACAACCTTCTCACATTAATTTTTCTTCGAGCGTTTTGGGGGGCCAAAAGATATGTTGGCCCCCTCTTTCAGGCTTTTTGGGCCCATGGCCCCGGTGGCCCCCTTGAATCCGCCAGTGGGGGCGGTGCCCCCACAACTTTCAAACGGAATACCGTCCTTTTTTGCAACTGTTTCTTTTTTTTTTTGAAAAAGCCAAGGGATGAAAAAGAAGTGGCCTAAAACCGGTGAGAAAACTAGATTTGGGGGGACCCTAGGTTGATCTCTATTATGGTGTGCTCCCCCAGTCTGAAAGTAGTTCCCGCGCCCCTGACTTTCTCTACGCTATTGAATCACGCTGCTGATTCTAGTAGGTATCTACTACGCAACCTTCTCACATTAATTTTTCTCCAAGCGTTTTGGGGGGGGGGGGCCAAAAGATATGTTGGCCCCCCCTTTCAGGCTTTTGGGGGGGGCCATGGCCCCGGTGGCCCCCCCCTGGATCCGCCAGTGCGTGCATTAGGTACTTCGGTGTTGATAAGATAAGGGCTCACTGCTACAGTGAGCACATCATTACCTTATTAAATTTAGTTGATAGTGACTGTGAACAAAAATAGTGTCAGTATTATTAGCAAAGTGACAAACATGATAACTGAGGGAAAGGCGTGCTATTTGCGTGAGAACCTCCAAGCCTGACGGATGAGCGCCTCTGGCAGTGCCTTTTCATGCATATGCCACGGTCCAGCGGGTACTGACGTTTATTGCTGAGTGAAAGGTGCGTCTGTGACGCTCTACGAGGGTGTTGCGGGAGGCTGCATGCCTCACTGGCTCCCTCCCTCATCGTTCGTGGTGCAATCGTATGCTCGTGGATGACGTAACATCGCGTTGTTGTGGGCATATAATGTTCACGTAAATAGCAATAGAAATTTCTTCAACCAGCACAAATGACCTTCTTGCAACCCGAGCGTACGTTTAATGAACAGCATAGAACATCATCCTTCCTAAACGGTCCCGTCATCTTAACCCGCGCGGGGCTGGGGGGGGTAAATTTTACCCCCCCTCGCGAATTTTTGCGATATCTCAAAAACGGCGGCGCGCAGCGCCGCCAAACTTTCAGTACCTTTTCTTACATCAATTTGACACCTTCCCTGAAAATTTGAGCGAAATCCGTCGGAAAATTTTTGAGAAATTGACGTTTTAGTGACGTCATGTTCGCCATTTTCGCCTCAAAAACGGCAAAAGTTCAAACGCCGCTAACATCTTCATTTTTAAAGGAATCAAGACGTAACAAAAAAGGTTATACGTAATTTTACTTTGTCTATCAAATGGCTATCTCGGTTTTTTGAAAATTTTGGATTTTGGCCTAAATTTTTTCAAAAAACTGATTTTTTTGGGAAAATCATTATAAAATCCAAAATTTTGAGTGTATCGAAAAACCGGAATATATGTCAGAGAATTGGTCTATGTGCACCTACATACCAAATTTTAGAAGAATCGGTTCAAAAATGTGGGAGTTATTCAAAATTTTATGACGTCACTACACATAATTTTTTTTGAAAAATGACTTTTTTGGAAGTTCTAGACCTCGTACGGAAACAAAAATAGCACCATTCGATTCGCCGTGAAAAACTGCATCAGATAGACACCTTTTTAGGCCTTAACAACCAACTTCAAAATTTGACCTCACTTGACCTGACCTTGACCTGACCTCGACCTGAAACTCATCTAGAGGTGGTCCATATCACTTATTGAGTGTGCCTATTGAATTCTATGAGTAAAATGACCCATAAAACATGTGTCACACATGCCCTTTTCTATATTTTGTTTTTTGGTGACCTGACCTGACCTGACCTGACCTTGACCTTGACCTCTGAATGATATTGTATGCAACTAATATTGTCTTGGTAGCCTAAGAACACGTTTTGGGCGATCAGTCTCAGTCCATGACTCCATTCTTCGGCAACTACGGTGCAAGGCCGATACTGTAGAAACTTGCAATTTGTACCCTTGACCTGACCTTGACCTTGACCTCAAACTTTAAATTAAGAACATGTTTTTAGTAGTTCGTGATGAGAGCTTTCGATTGGCGTTTGAATTTTCCAAATCGGACCATTAGTTCGGGAGATAACAGGGGGGGGGGGTAAAATTTACCCCCCCCCAGCCCCGCGCGTTCGGCTGGAGACCCCAGCCCCGCGCGGGTTAACCCTCGCCGGACCTATTGGTTTTCTACATACGCGCCGGCCGAGGGGGGGCGGGTACGACCCCCCCCCCTCGCCGTTTCGCCCCTGGTGGAGCTAGCGCGTCGCGGAAAAAACGAGCGTGTGCGCCGTTACGAGACGCAGAGATTGGTACCCGATTTTAATGTCCTAGGTCAACCGGTGACCTCTGAGGTCAGGTCAAGTGCCCCAAGGTACGGTTCAGTTTTTGGTGAATAACTTCGCAAAAAACGGCCGCAGAGCGCCGATTTTGGCAGCATCGTGTTCGTCTCGCTCAGGCGCGTCGAATGATATACTTTTTGTCCGGGTCAGGTCAACTTGGGGTGTTGACCTCAGGTCAAGGTCAGGTCAGCACCCCCAGGTCACGAAGTTGGTCGAAAGGGGTCATGTCGCATATCATTCGATTCGGCAGGTCTTCCTGAGTCCATTGGTGGCTTTCCCGACTCGCTAGCTCAATCTGATCAAGAGTTATTGACGAAAAACTAATATGACCTTGATGACGTGATAAATGACGTCACGCAAGGTCAACATTGCAAAAGTGACGCATCTAACCTTGCAAGGAATGCATAAAATCACGATTCTGTGTGCTTGAGATAGTTGGAGATCGTTCCCGGCGCCAGAATAGCAGTTTTCATTTTTCCCCATTGACTTATAATGGTGAGGTCACGAAAATGACCTGACCTCATATGACCTTTAGGAAAAATCCGAGATATACAAGTTGTGGGACTCATAATGGATACTAGATCCTGCAAGTTTCATTTCCCTGTGACATCTCCTCTGGCAGTGAGGGCGTTGCGAAGTTGCGACATCTGAAGACCGTGCAGAGGTTCACTTATGACGTCATAGGTCAGTGACCTGACCTGACCAAAAAATGCGGTGGGTGTCAAAAGATGCGGCTTGGATCAAAGGTCAGGTATGCCAAGTTTCAGCTCTCTATCGCCAGCATGTTCGGAGCTATCGCGAAAAAAACCTATGGGGGGGGGCGGCACCCGCCCCCCCCCCCCTCGGCCGGCGAGGGTTAAAGGATTCCACCTGTATTGACGATACCACGCTGTGCCCTCCGCAGGACCTGTTCCGGAAGGTAATTCCGCACCAGTGTCTGGGCTCCATCTGGTCGAAGCGGAAGGGCGTGGACGCCTCCTCGGTGGCGGCCACCGTGGACCAGTTCAACGCCGTCTCCTTCTGCGTCATCTCCACCATGCTGATGGACACGACGCTGCGACACAGCCAGCGCGCCAAGCTCCTGGCCAAGTGGGTCGACATCGCTCAGGTGAGCAGCGACGATGAAATTCTCGGGCTGCTTGGAATGGGGAGATCGGGTGGCTGGGATAAAAAGTTATTGGTTCGTGAATAAATACCTACCAGACTGACGAAAATGATATGGCAACTGAACCTTTGACGGATTTGGGACGAATCTTGCTTCGGGTTTGTAAAACACTATGTATTGTTCAGTGTTGTGATACTGAGTAACGTTTATGTGCATCTCATTGCAGGAACTCAGGATGCTGAAGAACTTCTCTTCATTGAAGGCGATCATTTCAGGGTTGCAGTCAAATCCTGTATATAGGTTAAAACAAACATGGCTGGCACTTCCCAGGGATAAGGTAAGATACATATTACATACACATTCGTGTTACGATGCCTGTGGCCCGACTGTGCTTTCAAACTAAATCATCTAAAAACGGTTTTGTCGATTAACTCCGTATGATGTGAGGCATACGGAATTCTTTCAACAAGGTTAGTTGACAGTATTGTGTGCACAATCAATAAATGCTTCCGGGGTTTTGTTGCAACGACGCCGTCTTTTGGGAAGAGACCTTGCTCGTATAGCACATACCTACGTAGAGGACCGACGTGGTCCTTGTAGGTGGCGCTGCTATGGAGCAGGAACCAGCTCAGAGTTACAAATGCCTGCACCTTCCGTGACGAATTTTTAGAGCTATGAGGACCGAACAGTCCATCTTGTGACTTTGTTGACTCTTACTCTCCTCCTCAGCTATTATATGTGACCCCACCCTGCTGTCCCCACAGTCTGAGCTGTTCGACGAGCTGGCAAGGATCTTCAGCGACGCCAACAACATGTTCAACCAGCGCGAGCTGCTGATGAAGGAGGGCACCGCCAAGCACGCCGAGGCGTTCGGAGAAAACGACAAGCACCTGCAGAAGCACCTCAGTCGGTCCGGCTCCAACCACACGGTGAGCTTGCTGGGCTAGAAATATATGACTTGTCATTTCTTTCAAAAGTATACGCGTAAATGGATCTGTCTTGTCATGGCTGCAACGTTAAAAAACAACTGAACTTTACAGTTGATACGCAGCGTACGGTCTTCGATGCCCTATTTATTCACGGGAAGGACTATACATTACCCTGAACAGCTCGCGCTGGTCCGTGTGAACATGTGGTCAGGGACCTTTCGTGGTCTGGGCCACCTGCAGAGGGCGCCCTCACGGGCTGTGGATGGTCCTCAGCTGTATCATCAGTCATGCTCGTCTAGTGGGTCGTTTCGCTCATACGTCATTGAACACAGCTGGTGAATCGCTGTTGTCACTGCTCAGGTGTTCAGAAACCATGCATCATAACCGAAAGCGCTACGCAGTTTCAGCCATGAATGTTTTGTAGAACGACGAAACGTATATGGTGAATAATAGTTATCGGTCAGCAGGTGTTCCGACTTCGAAGTCATGTTTCATCATCTATCATGCAATGGCTTATGCTGCTTATAAATGTTCCAAAGTTATCGTCATGCTATTTGAGGCCACACGAAAGAGTTTGTTGCCCTGTATCTTCAGTACATCATCATTAGCCGTGTTTACATAGGGTTCCCTTAATCTTCCCCTATTTCTCCCCTATTTTCAGATCGAATTTTAGGCAACATATCGATCGCGTGTAACGTTGCTATGGGCGCTATTGTTGTTAGAAGCATACAAAGCATCGTTTATGCTGTAAACAATATAAATTGGGCTTATTTAATACTTGAAATTCAACAATTCATATTTTGAAGTATTTTTATCCTGCCCTTCAATTCCCTCTTTAAGCGACAAATAGGGGAGGATTTGGTAGCGTAGCGCCTTTCCAAAAGCTGCTACGCTACCATATCCAGTGGTTCTCAAACTACCATATCACAAAAGCGGCATGCTGATTGGCCGGCAGTTCCGAATCGTCCGACTGGTGGTCCCCGACTCGACAAGCGCACGTGCGCCGACTGAGGATTTTTACTTTAAGTGGCATTAACGCATACCTAAACGGCAGAAAGTCAAGGCAGAAATTCAACAGAAATTCGATAGGTGCGGTGTTCTGATATTGCCGTGGATGTGATTACACCTACTTGAATAATAGCTCAGCCGTTAAAAGTATGTTAAATGCCAGATAGTTTTCTGATTTTTCTTGCTTTGAGCTTTCATGTGCTATCACTTTTACCTCAGTGTCTAGTCTGGAAGCCATTTGGGAGAGCCCTAAAGGTAAGCAAATATTGCAAACTGCTTCTAGAATGACTTAGTTGCGCCATATTTGTAGTGAAGCGAGGTAAAGGAGACAGAGGATTCCTTTAATTATAAGGGACATTTAAGAGACAAATAGGGGAGGATTAAGGGAACCCTATGTAAACACGGTTATTGCCAAGGATGCATAAGAAAACTGTCGCTCAGTTTTCTGAAAGTGAAACATCAGCGTTCTACTTGCAGCGAGAAAAGATGTCCGTGAAGTTAGCGTCAGCAACAGCAACGAATACAGCGTCGGATTCAGAATCGCTTCAAAAAGTGCCATTAGGTCAATTGGGGGACGGGGAACACGAATATGACATTTATTTTGCCCTAGCTCCCTTCCTTCCTCCCTTAACCCGCGCCGTGCTGGGGGGGGGGCGTTTTTACGCCCCCCCCCCTCAGGTTTTTCGCGAATATCTCAAAAACGGCGGCGCGCAGCGCCGCCGTTTTTGGTACACGTGTTCCTACATCATTTCCGCACATGTTGTGAAAATTTCAGACCTAGGCCGTTCAAGGTCAGGTCACCAGGTCACGTCAAGTGACCTTACCTCAGAAAAAGTTCAAAGGCTCGCTATAGCTACACCGACTGAACGATCACTTTGAAACTTTCAGCGATTGATATGAGTAACAGTATGTATAAAATGTATATCTCGGATTTTTGATATCTGTGACCTAAGGTCAGGTCAATTTTGCGACCTCTCCATTATAAGTCAATGGGAGAAAATTGAAATGCGCCTCTTTTGGACGAATATCGTTCAAAACGCTCTCAAACATCGGTTCATAGGTAAACATGACACACTGAATAGGAAAAATGCACCTGTGACCCCTCTGTGTGCCCCTGAGGTCATCTCAGGTCATGAACGGTCGCCAGCAGTTTTTTGGCTATAACTTTTGATAGAGACGTGCTAGAGCGGTGAAAACACGTCAGATGTGTTCAGCTCGACGATACGGATCGACTGATATGCAACATGACCCTTTTCGGTCAGGTCATGACCTTGACCTGAGGTCAAATTTTCAAAATGACCTTTCAAGGTCAACGAATAGTTCATTCGACGCGTCTCGACGAGAGGAACACGATGCTGGCAAAAGTAATGTCATGACGCTTATGAGTCAAAAGTTATTGACGAAAAAACGTTTTTCGTAAAAACGGCTATTTTTGGAGTTTTTGCCCTCTGGAGGCTAAACCGTTGTTCTGAGGTCAAATCTGAGAATATTATAAGAAAGGTCTGTAAAAGGGCTATCGAATGCGCTTTTCCGCGGCGCTGTAGCTCTATCGGTTCCCGAGATAGCCGTTGGCAGTTTCCAAAATGTTGAAATAGTCAACATTTTACCTTTGGTGACCTCTGGTGACCTGACCTTTGACCTGACCCAAAAAATGACCGAAGTGTTTTCGTCCTTATTTTTGACGCTCTTTCGATTGCCGCTTACCGCGTGTCGCTACGTGGCCCAGGAGCCGAGTTAGACGGGGGGGGCGTGAAAACGCCCCCCCCCCCCCCAGCACTCGGCGGAAAGTTCAGGCCACCAGCACGGCGCGGGTTAATCGTCCCTTAAAGGACGGGGCGCGTCAAAAGTGCCCCTAGGCTTCGTCTGATCGCCAAAATAATGGTCGCAATCGATTCCTCGGGTCAATATCTAACCTCAGTCGAAGGTTCCAGACCTGTGGCTCCTATCCCTCATCCCTTAATCGTCCCTTAAAGGACGGGGCGCGTCAAAAGTGCCCCAAGACTTCGTCTGATCGCCAAAATAAGGGTCGCAATCGATTCCTCGGGTCAATATCTAACCTCAGTCGAAGGTTCCAGACCTGTGGCTCCTATCCCTCATCCCTTAATCGTCCCTTAAAGGACGGGGCGCGTCAAAAGTGCCCCAAGGCTTCGTCTGATCGCCAAAATAAGGGTCGCAATCGATTCCTCGGGTCAATATCTAACCTCAGTCGAAGGTTCCAGACCTGTGGCTCCTATCCCTCATCCCTTAATCGTCCCTTAAAGGATGGGGCGCGTCAAAAGTGCCCCAAGGCTTCGTCTGATCGCCAAAATAAGGGTCGCAATCGATTCCTCGGGTCAATATCTAACCTCAGTCGAAGGTTCAAGACCTATGGCTCCTATCCCTCATCCCTTAATCGTCCCTTAAAGGACGGGGCGCGTCAAAAGTGCCCCAAGGCTTCGTCTGATCGCCAAAATAATGGTCGCAATCGAATCCTCGGGTCAATATCTAACCTCAGTCGAAGGTTCCAGACCTGTGGCACCTATCCCTCATCCCTTAATCGTCCCTTAAAGGACGGGGCGCGTCAAAACTGCCCCAAGGCTTCGTCTGATCACCAAAATAAGGGTCGCAATCGATTCCTCGGGTCAATATCTAAAATCAGTCGAAGGTTCCAGACCTGTGGCTCCTATCCCTCATCCCTCAATCGTCCCTTAAAGGACGGGGCGCGTCAAAAGTGCCCCAAGGCTTCGTCTGATCGCCAAAATAAGGGTCGCAATCGATTCCTCGGGTCAATATCTAACCTCAGTCGAAGGTTCCAGACCTGTGGCTCCTATCCCTCATCCCTTAATCGTCCCTTAAAGGACGGGGCGCGTCAAAAGTGCCCCAAGGCTTCGTCTGATCAGCAAAATAATGGTCACAATCGATTCCTCGGGTCAATATCTAACCTCAGTCGAAGGTTCCTGACCTGTGCCTCCTATCCCTCATCCCTTAATCGTCCCTTAAAGACAGGGCGCGTCAAAAGTGCCCCAAGGCTTCGTCTGATCGCCAAAATAAGGGTCGCAATCGATTCCTCGGGTCAATATCTAACCTCAGGCGAAGGTTCCAGACCTGTGGCTCCTATCCCTCATCCCTTAATCGTCCCTTAAAGGACGGGGCGCGTCAAAAGTGCCCCAAGGCTTCGTCTGATCGCCAAAATAAGTGTCCCAATCGATTCCTCGGGTCAATATCTAACCTCAGTCGAAGGTTCCAGACCTGTGGCTCCTATCCCTCATCCCTTAATCGTCCCTTAAAGGACGGGGCGCGTCAAAAGTGCCCCAAGGCTTCGTCTGATCGCCAAAATAAGGGTCGCAATCGATTCCTCGGGTCAATATCTAACCTCAGTCGAAGGTTCCAGACCTGTGGCTCCTATCCCTCATCCCTTAATCGTCCCTTAAAGGACGGGGCGCGTCAAAAGTGCCCCAAGGCTTCTTCTGATCAGCAAAATAATGGTCACAATCGATTCCTCGGGTCAATATCTAACCTCAGTCGAAGGTTCCAGACCTGTGCCTCCTATCCCTCATCCCTTAATCGTCCCTTATAGGACAGGGCGCGTCAAAAGTGCCCCAAGGCTTCGTCTGATCGCCAAAATAAGGGTCGCAATCGATTCCTCGGGTCAATATCTAACCTCAGTCGAAGGTTCCAGACCTGTGGCTCCTATCCCTCATCCCTTAATCGTCCCTTAAAGGACGGGGCGCGTCAAAAGTGCCCCAAGGCTTCGTCTGATCGCCAAAATAAGTGTCCCAATCGATTCCTCGGGTCAATATCTAACCTCAGTCGAAGGTTCCAGACCTGTGGCTCCTATCCCTCATCCCTTAATCGTCCCTTAAAGGACGGGGCGCGTCAAAAGTGCCCCAAGGCTTCGTCTGATCGCCAAAATAATGGTCGCAATCGATTCCTCAGGTCAATATCTAACCTCAGTCGAAGGTTCCAGACCTGTGGCTCCTATCCCTCATCCCTTAATCGTCCCTTAAAGGACGGGGCGCGTCAAAAGTGCCCCAAGGCTTCGTCTGATCGCCAAAATAATGGTCGCTAGATATTGACCCGAGGAATCGATTGCGACCATTATTTTGGCGATCAGACCAAGCCTTGGGGCACTTTTGACGCGCCCCGTCCTTTAAGGGACGATTAAGGGATGAGGGATAGGAGCCACAGGTCTGGAACCTTCGACTGAGGTTAGATATTGACCCGAGGAATCGATTGCGACCATTATTTTGGCGATCAGACGAAGCCTTGGGGCACTTTTGACGCGCCCCGTCCTTTAAGGGACGATTAAGGGATGAGGGATAGGAGCCACAGTTCTGGAACCTTCGACTGAGGTTAGATATTGACCCGAGGAATCGATTGCGACCCTTATTTTGGCGATCAGACGAAGCCTTGGGGCACTTTTGACGCGCCCCGTCCTTTAAGGGACGATTAAGGGATGAGGGATAGGAGCCACAGGTCTGGAACCTTCGACTGAGGTTAGATATTGACCCGAGGAATCGATTGCGACCATTATTTTGGCGATCAGACGAAGCCTTGGGGCACTTTTGACGCGCCCCGTCCTTTAAGGGACGATTAAGGGATGAAGGAAGGGAGCTAGGGCAAAATAAATGTCATATTCGTGTTCCCCGTCCCCCAATTGACCTGATGGCACTTTTTGAAGCGATTCTGAATCCGACGCTGTATTCGTTGCTGTTGCTGACGCTAACTTCACGGACATCGAGAAAAGCGAGATACCCGGGGCTGAATTTGTGCCACCTTCAGTAATCAATACATGTCCTCCTCATGTGACTGCGATTGACTCAGTCCCTCGTCTCGGCAGGTGAACCACGGCACCATTCCGTACCTGGGCACGTTCCTCACCGATCTCATGTACATCCACGCCGGCATTCCCGACTACACGGCCGACGGACTCATCAACTTCGACAAGCGCAGGAAGGAGTTCGAGATCCTCGCGCAGGTCAGTGCAACTCTGAACGTCAATTGATGTGTTAAAACTACTATTGATGTACTCCCAATACCTCTGCCACGCAGGCGAATCCTTGGCATATTACAGCGCTTACTTACTCTCATTGCCTTGTGCCCTTGCACGACAAAGGAAGCCGAGGCCAAAAGTTCGCAAATCTGAAATCTATTGCTTTACAGTCCTTGCGTATGTAAACACCTCGATAAGCCGATGCCAGCAGCGACTGGGCGCTAGGCAATCGCTGTCCGCTGCACGAGCACGACCTTTGTTTCGTTTGCTGTTTGCCCGCTAGGTACGTGTCACAGCGCCTCGGGCGTTCCTAGGTCACTATCAGCGGCGGGTCACGTGCCCTTGAGATACTATCGCGGCTTTGTTTTCGTAAGATATGCACCGTGCTGTCTGCCGTTGTTGGGTTGGCCGGTTGAGCCTGACGGGCACGGCACGGGCACGGGTACTGACAAGTGACAGGGCACAGATACTGACACGGATTGTGAGTACACGGGTAGGCATTTCGAGTGTCGACCATCGCGGACGGTGGGTGGCGGGCTGCTGGGGTCGTGACTGTCGGCCGGATAGCGCCTGTACTAGCCGGGCATTGTGTGCGGTGTGACTCCATTATACGTCCAGACGGCCGGCTGTCGGATTTTGTTTCATTGTGCCCAGTTTTTGCGGTCATTATCACTGGCACTGGAATGTCTGGAACCTATTAATTCTGGTCATGTGAATAGGCTGTAGCAAAAACTTCAGTAATACCTTGCAACGAAAATATGAAACCCTTTTATGCATTCCCCGAACAGTTCGTTAAATATAATTATGCTACCTATGTAAATGGTCGGAGTTAATAAATATTTCGACCTACTCAAACCCGTATTATCGACATCGTCATAATCTTGTGGGAAAAACTGCGTCAAATTCGCTCAATAACTTACTCATTCCTCTGAATCCTGTTCGTCACGGCATACCTTAGCTCAGACCCGCCGGTCCGTTTCCTCCTCCCTCCGTGGCGTCATCGATCTTTGATGACGTCACACAGCCAGCTGATATGAGTCACCCCTGCCGGGGGGAGCCGCCGCCGGGCCGGGCCTCACACGGCTCCGCACCGCCGGCGCACCCACACCGCTCCGCCCTCCGCTGACACCGCCACCCCCGTCCGACCGCAGATCAAGCTGCTGCAGGGGGCCAGCAACGCGTACAACATCGCGCGCGACCGGCCGTTCGAGCGGTGGTTCGACGCGGTGCTGGTGTTGGACGACAAGGAGGCATACGAGCTGAGCTACCAGATCGAGCCGCACGGCAGCACCTCCAGCCACGGCAGCTCCAGCGGCTCCAGCAGGGACAAGATCATGCGGAAGAAAGTGGCGTAAGTACCTAGACTGTTCAGTGGTTGTTATGGTTAATGTATGCGTTAAATGGTGCGAGATAACATATCTATTTTTGCTCAATCCGTCCATTCTCTGCAGAGTTTACCAGATGACGATGAACCGTTAAAACAACGATGCGGTTCAAGCGAATTCGTCTCGAACTCGCAAAACAGCGACGTGCTATCTTATATAGACTGGCGGTGGTGTGAGTCCGTGCCGCTATTTCAGGCTTTGTGCTGAGTTCACAGCCCCCAGCGTAGGGCGGAAGTCATTTGCGCTGTCTCCTAGACACACGCGATATCGTCCTCGGAGACGAACAGTGCGATCCATTGTTGGATCCATTGCCGCGACTCCGGGGGACCTGGCGCTACAGCGCACATCTCAAAGGTCTAAAATACCTGTCAGTTGGAGAATGAAGTCCGATTTCGGCGAATATTTACAACTCGATACTCAACTAAATTGAATGGCATGCCTTGCGAAGCTAGCTACTTCTGACAGGTGTTGAATACCTCTGAAACCTACTGCGACTGATACTCCGGCTTGCAGTTCTTATGTTTCATTGTTTCATGTATCTAAACAAGAAGAGTCACTGGACCTCTAGCAAGCGTCAGGCCGAGTGCTGTTTGTTGCTTGCTGTGTCGCTCCAGCAAAGGGTTCTTCTGACTTGTAATGCTTGTATTCCTTTGTTTGGATGGCCGCATCACAGGCGTGCAAAATCTATAGACGAAAGATACAGCATCCGCATGTCCTCAAACGCACCATTACACTCGGACATAGCCGGTGCAAACCTATCAGCAGGTTATTCTGAAACAACATTAGGTCTTGGAATGGAGGGTCAGGATCGGTGGGGCTCTAAGCCTGCACCGACCGAGAAAGGTCGACAGAGAAAATCTGCTGTGAGTCGAATGGACAGGACCAGACTCGTTATGTGACCGGCAGCGGCGGACTTAGTTCTCAGGTCGGTCGGTGGACCTTGGAGGTCGGGCCGACTGGGCTCGAATGAAGTGGATGTGGGCCACCCTGAGGTCGGGAAGACTGGGGTCGGCCGGTCAGACAGGGCGTGGCCAGCCCAGCTGACGACTCTCTCCGGTCCGACCAGGGCCGTTCCAGCGATCAATACGGCTCCGGTCCTGCCACGGAGGGTCGGAGCGGGGAGCCCACAAAGCGGCCATCCACCCCCGCCGACTCTAGCACAGAGACATCCGCCGGGACATGGTCAAAGGCGCCCCACAGTAGTCCTCTAAGAATGATGCTGATGTCTTCGATCGTAGACTCATCAACAAATGCCATTAGTACACATTTTCGCTTTTGACTAAGGCCGGATGCTTGTTATAGTTATGTAAATATCGCCTTACTCCTACTCGCTAATCAGTGCCAAATTTTCGATTGATTAGAAGTGAATAATGTAATGTGTTTGCTGACTGAACGTTTGGCGAGGCCCACGCGCCACGACAGTGCTAGCGAATTTCAACGGATCAATGCAATCGCTTTAATGTTTACCCTGGTAACTGATTCTGTTATCGCAGTAGCGCCTTCTATTTTGAGTAACTCCATTTAAAACACGTGTACATACGATCGAATGCCATTCGTATTTTAAACATGCACTTTTACTTGTGACATACTATCATAGCATAATAGTGAATTTTCGCAGCCTCCATTTGACGCTGCCGTTTTCTGTTCGACAGGCTCGGTCACAAGAAGCACGACAGCCTGGCCAGCACATCCAGCAGCTCGTCGAGCCAGTTCTTCGGCGAGATGGACAGCGTGAGCTCCCCCAACGAGAGCAGCGCGTCCTTCGAGCGACACGCCAGCGTGGTGAGTGGAGTGGAATGGAGTGGCCAGCGTGGTGAGTGGAGTGGAATGGAGTAGCCAGCGTGGTGAGTGGAGTGGAATGGAGTGGTCAACGTGGTGAATGGAGAAGAATGGAGTGGCCAGCGTGGTGAGTGGAGTGGAATGGAGTGGAGTATTTAGTATTTACATTTGTGCCCACATATTTATCCATCAGGTCGTCAACAGGCACTTGACCGGTGACCTACTAAATGACGCATCACAATATTAAAACAGTGGTGAGTGGAGCGATGTGGGAAATGGAGTGTGTGGAGTGTGGAGCGGTGTGGCGTGGTGGCGTGGCGTGCCGGGTGGAATGGAATAGAGTTGATTGCTGAGTTTTGAACTGAGAGTGCTAGGTTGCGGTGTAACAGAATGAATATTGGTTCGGAACAGGGTTTTTACGGTGTTAACGTTCAATGCATATCTGAAAGTTTCTGACCGAAGCTCACCCGTGTCTGCAGATGTCGACCAGCTCCAGCAGCTCGTCGGTACCGTCGCTGGACGCCTCGGTGACGTCATCGGCCACCAACCAATCGCAGCAGAGCGCGCGCAAGACGCCGGATTCTGCGCTGCAGCAGAAGCCGGACGCCGGCTCTCCGTACATCACGCCAGACTTTTACATCATACGGGTGACGATCCGCACATCGGCGCACGAGACCGAGGGCATCAACCTCTACAAGTCCATCATGCTGAGCAACAGTGAGCGCACGCCGCAGGTCATCCGCAACGCCATGATCAAGCACGACGTGGAGGGCAACACGGACGACTACGTGCTGGCGCAACTGCTGCCCGACGGAGGTGAGGCCCGTGCACTGCACGCGAGCGTCTTTGATGCCTGGATAGGCGTCCGCAGCGCTGTCACGCGGCCGATACGTGAAACAGAAACTATAGGAGCTCTCTGAGTCCGTGGTGTGTGGTCTGTAACTCACTGAAAGCACGCAAACATTGCTTAGGTTAACCGACAAGGGGTGTTTCAAACGGACATTTATATTGCAACGCGCATGCATTAGTTTCTGCATCTGCTTGCTTTACTCCTCCAAATGTTGAAAGCGTCAGGCTGGATATGCCCGAGAGGCCTAAGCGATAAGGCTTCATTCACGGGCGTATGCTCTGACTTATTCAATAATCGTTAATCGTTAATCGTAAACTTGTACCTAACCGTCCCCGATTTTACGTTACAGAGAAAGTCGTCCCTGCCAACTGTAACGTCTACTATGCCATCAACACGGCTCACGACCTCAACTTCGTGCTGCGGCCCAAGAAGGACGCCGCCTCCTCGGACACACACCGATTGAAAGAGTCCAAATCAAAGCGGAAGCTACTGATGCTTCACAAATAGCGGCGGCTCGCTGCCCGGCGACCGCGTTTGATACTTATTTTTCGTACTCCAGTGCAAAGCATCATCAGTTGTAGATAGCCATCATCATTGACTGTAGATAGCGATTGTCGCCGCATTCATTCGGTGTGCGTTCGAGTTGCGTGTTGTGCGTGCAGGGCATGTCGACTGCCCGCGATGGAACGACCAAAGACTCTCATTATCTCCCTCTCTCTGTGGGCGACGGTTCCGGTCCCGCCGGGGATCGTACCTCGCTGCCCGACCTCAGCCGTGGACAGACGGGCGCTCACCCGTCCGAGGGCTTCCGTGGGTCATCCGAGCCTTCCGTGGGCCTTCCGTGAGTCCCTCTGCTGGCCTTCCTGGCCCAGGGATGCCCTGTGGCGTGCGTATGACCAGGGCCGCCGGCCCGGATCGCGATATGCTCACGTGTTGTAGTGTTCGGTTGAGTTGTGCAATTCAGGTCTGATCACGTGACTACCGGAGTCGGTAGTGGTGTCGTTATGACGGCCGCTCACGTGATCCCAGTGATGTAGGACAACCCCCTGGTCAGAGCGGACTGACCGGAGCCGAGTGGTCCATTTGGGTCCGAGTGATCTGCGTTTGTACTTGTATTGGACTCATGAATACAGCTCTGTAACAACGCAACGCGCCCTGTTCTGTCTTGGTTGCTGTGGTGGCATGGAAAGAGGTGCACGGTAGGATGGTAAGCTGGGTACTGGGAGATGGTGAGATGACAATGGGCAGGTGAAGGCAACATTAGAACGTGAGAAGAGGTTTGAAGTGGGTTATATTGACAGGAAACAAACGTCAAATCAATTATGTATCGGTATCACTGCGGTCTCAGAGGTATAATTTCTTACTGCACGACCGGTCAACTAGCGGTCGAACATTAACCCGCGCCCCGTAGGGGGGGGGGGCCGAAACGGCCCCTCTCTGTCCTTTTCCGTCGATATCTCCTAAACGGCTGGAGATATCGCCACCAAACTTTTAGGACCCCTCCGGGCATCAATTTTACACGTTGTGACCAAAAATTTTTCCAGAGGCTATGATAGGTTGGCCACAAATGACGTCACAATGACGTCATGTTCTGTCATTTTCGACCGAAAAAAGACCTTCGCGAGAAGACCTGTCAGGCCTACAGCTTTGAAGATACAGAAAAATGATAAAGACATAAAAGGTGTAGAATTGACAGGGCTACAAAACTGCTATCTCGGATTTTTGACATTTTTGAGTTTTGACCCCCAAAAATCAAAAGAGCATTTTTTTTTATATATTACCCAAAAAAATCCAAAAAGTTTTTTGAATTTCGAAAAAAACCGGAATATATGTGATAGTACCCATCGTCTCCTATCTACATACCAAATTTCAGATCGATACCTCGTTTTTTGGCCAAGTTATAGCGAAAAAACTGTTCAAAAATGATGACGTCAAATTTTCAAACTCAATTTTTGGCAGTTCTAGACCTCGTAGAGCAAAACAAAGACCACCATTAGACTCCCCGTGACAAGCTGCATCGAATCGATACCCATTTTATGCAAAAATATCAACTTTGAAATTTGACCTAGTTTGACCTGACCTTGACCTGACCTTCACCATAACGTGACCTGGGCTGGCCCCAAAGGCTGCCTAACCCACATAATCGCATTTGTCATGTAAAATGGACCATAAAACATGTATCACACGACACTTCAATATTGTGACCCCGGTGACCTGACCTCGCTGTGACCTGACCTGGTATCAGTGACCTCAGATAGCAAAGTATGTGTTTGACGAACAATGTACCATCGATGGTTTTGAATAAATTACCAATTTACTCGATTTCACAACACATTTCTTGAAATGCCTGTCAATGGTGAAAATCCGACCTTTGACCTGACCTGTGACGTCATCGGTTTGACCTTGGTCAATGAAATTTGGTCACAAGGTAGTTCCCGGGCGGGGCTATCGAACGCCGTTTGAATTTTGAAAATCGGCCGGTAAATTTCCGAGATCTTAGGGGGGGGGGGCGAAACGGCCCCCCCCCCCCCTACGGGTGGTAGGGTCCGCCGATAGCCCTACGGGGCGCGGGTTAAAAGTGCATGGCTCCTTTGACATAAACTCACTTGACGAAATGCCTTTGTAACGTTTTGGTGGAGGACAAAAGGCTGGACTTACGAGTACATCTATCTTCCTCCTTATAACATTCCAAAAGCCAATCGACGAGAAACTACTGCTATAGAGAAAATTGCATGATTACCTGTGCGCGAGTATGTCATAGCTAATGTACTTACTGTCAAGTGTCTGGGTGGGACCATTACTACAGCATCTGTTCTCGATCTCACACACATGAATAGGTAACGAAGTAATATAGCACGGCGTGGGATCCCGATTGCTGGTGTCCATGACACGCCGGAGTAAACACTACGACAAGTGCAATTTAGGAGTGATTAGTGGTCGCGGAGAGGCCATTTCCTTAGCTATATATTATATATTTGACGGAGGAGTGGGACTGCATGTTTTCATCGTTTCCTGGCAACGTATCGCATGTGAACGGGACGCACTGACCGTAAACGCACTGCTGTCACTCCTCGGCAAGGACAGAGGCTGGTCAGAAAGGGCACCACGGCGTCTTACACTGTTCACTAAGGGTATCATGTAACCTAGCTCTTTGTAGACAGAGGTGCGAGCTATCAGTGTTCGTGAGCCTTGTTCTGTGTGGAGCAAGTTCTGCTGCCGCAGATCGACAGCAATGCACCTTCTGCCCGTGTCCGTGGGTCGTCTACCGCACGTGCAGTCGTTGCTGATGATGGTGGTGCTGGTGGTGATGCTGTTATCGCCGACGTCTGCTCTCGTGGCCAGCGGCCGGCGGGGTCAGGGGCGGCGGCTGGTCGGCGCCACCCCGGCCGAGACCCTGTCCGCTGTCAGCCAGGAGCGCTGCCATCTCGCCTGCCATCAGCGGGGCGGCTGCCGCAGCTTCAACTTCCACCCCGGCACCGGCCACTGCCAGGTGTTCACCGTGACCGCCTGCGACTCCAGCAGCTACATCGTCGAGCCGGCCGACGGCTGGACCTTCTACGACGTGGTGGACGACCTGTCGGCCGAGTCCGGCCAGACGCTGTGGTCGCAGGAGGCCTGCGTGCGCGACGGCCGCTGCCGGGACTCGTGTCTGCGCCGGCTGGGCCAGGGATGCCGGCACACGCAGCAGTGCCAGCCGCTCGTCACCGGCGTCACCAACTGCAGCGAGCTGGTCTGCAGCTGCAGCAGTGACTACTGGAGGTACAACGAGACCCTCTGCTTGCCGCGGTACACGCAGCTTTTCACCGATGGAGAGTCGTGGGTCTGGAAGAAGATCGTCAACGGAATGTGCTCCACCGACTTCCGGATCAAGAGTACCGGCACAGTGGAGGTGGGCGTATTCGCGGCGTACACGCACTACACGGGACGCTACTTTATGAGAATAAGCCAGACAAAGATGGACGTTTTCCGATATGTAGATGGGGTGTCCAACAGTCACCTCGCCAGTATTTCGAAGACATTTGAGACAGACAGTCGCTATGTTCGGTTCAATTTCCATTGGTGTGGCGGTCAGCTTCGCATCTCGCGTGGTATCGGTACGACAAATCTGTTCTCCTGGAACGACGCAAGCCCTCTTCAGCCGCAGTACCTGGCCATGCGTTCATCGTCGTTCACTGAGGGCTACTTCAAGTTCGCCGGCGATCTGGTGGACCCGTGGTTCGGCGACTGGAGCTCCGATCGCGTCTATTCGATTCCACGCGACACGATGATCGCGCGCCGGCGGCACGAGCAGGACTTTTGGGTGGAGTTCGAGTGTCGCATCACGCGCGACTGCAACTGGATGGCGCGCGAGCAGACCACCTGGCACGGCTCAAACATCTGGAAGGTGATTATCGGCGGGTGGGACAACTCGCACAGCGCCATCCACCGGCACGTGTCGGGCGTGGGCTGGCAGTTCTACTCGCACACGGCCACGCCGGCCATCCTGAGCGCCACCGAGCTGCGCCGGTTCCGGATCCACTTCAGCCCACAGGCGATCCGCGTGTACCGCGACAACCAGACCGAGCCCTTCATGGCGCACCAGGTCGGCGCGCCCTTCACCATCAACTACGACGGCCCGCACATGTGCTGCAACGTGGAGAACGTCGACTTCCGGCTGGTGCAGTACGACGCCGGCTGGGGGTACGAGGGCGGCTTCCGCTGGGGCGAGGACCTCGTCAGCTGAGTGACGGTCATAGCTGCTTCGACATATCGCAGAGTTGCTTCAGTCTCTCAGCTAAGGCCCGCTGGGTGTTTGGCCTAATCTCTCTAGACATGTGAGATGTGACCAAACTCAAAGTCGCCAGAAAAAGGCTGAGGTCAGATTTTAACAGCATGTGAGTTACACCTACCCGCAAGCAATATAAAAGCGTGGCTCGAAAATCTTTGCTCTATCATTTTCCGCGCCTTCTCTTAGGATACTCAATGGTATAGAAAATTAACATGTTAGCCGCATCTAAGAATATTAAATCAAAACAATTAAGTTCTCTTTCTCCTACCCGATGTGTGCCGTAATTGCAATTTCATTGTTCTTTCTAAACAGTGTGCACTGCGCACCGTGCACCAATCAGTCATATCTTTGGCTTTGTTACTTTTATATATATATATATATATATATATATATATATATATATATATATATATATATATATATATATATATATATATATATATATATATATATATATATATATGTTACGGGTCATATGCTAATTTGGGCAGTATGCAAACTACACGGGCAGTATGCAAACTACCCAACAGCCCGGGCAGTATGCATACCGCCCGGGTAGTATGCATACTACCCGACCCCTTGGGCAGTATGCATACCGCCCGGGCAGTTTGCATACTGCCCGGGTAGTATGCATACTACCCACCTTTTAGCTCACGGGCAAGATGTTTACTCGGGCAATATGCTGACCGTGGCCCGTGAGACTTAAAGTTAGTGCAATAGCTCACATATACATGTCAATGACAGACGCTTTAACCCGCGCTGGGGCGCTGCTCGGCGCCAGTTGTGACGCGGGCTGGAGGGGGGGGGGTTGAACACCCCTGCTTGACTCCCGTGCTACTTAGCAGAGCAGAAGTAAGCGGCATGTAAGATGCGGTAACCGGCATTCGAAATAGCTTCAAAGATCATGACGAAAAAGCCCTAGTCATTTTTAAGGTCAGGTCAAAGAATAGGGCAACAGAGGTTATCAAAGATCAAATTTCGTCTTTTTCCTTTTTTTATAAATTCGCCCATACCTCGGAAGATATAGTAGAGCTACAGCGCCGCAGAAAGACGCATTTGATAGCTCTTTTAGCGCTTTCTGGAATAAGTATACTCGAAGTTGATCCAAGTTCAAAATTTGAACTGAGGTCAAGGTCATGACCTGACATGAAAAGGCATGGAAATGACATGACATGACATGTTGTTTATCAGCCGCTCTTTATCGTTGAACTGAACACATCTAAGGTTGTTTCCATGACCATCGCTCCAACACGTCTCCATAAAAAATAATGATATAAGAACTGCTGGAGACCTTTCATGACCTGATATGACCTCATGGTTATAAAAAGGGGTCACATGTGCAATTTTTTTCGATTCAGTGCGTCAGGTTTACCTGTAACCC